CTCTCGAGTTTTATAAAACGATCTTCGAGTTTTTATAAAACGATCTTCGAGTTTTTATAAAATGATCTCTCGAGTTTTATAAAACGATCTTCGAGTTTTATAAAACGATCTTCGAGTTTTTATAAAACGATCTCTCGAGTTTTATAAAACGATCTCTCGAGTTTCATAAAACGATCTTCGAGTTTTTATAAAACGATCTTCGAGTTTTTATAAAACGATCTCTCGAGTTTTATAAAACGATCTCTCGAGTTTTATAAAACGATCTCAAGTTTTATAAAATGATTCTCGAGTTTTATAAAACGATTCTCTAGTTTTATAAAGCGATTCTCGAGATTCATAAAACTGTTGCGTTTACGCGTTTGCGGGGAATTTTGGCTATTGATTCCGTCGTACCGATTTTGACCCCAACATAGCCCATAAAAAGTTGGACATGAATTTGAAAACTCAACAATTAATTTTAGTGTTTCTGGTTTAAAAGATTAGGTATTACCATTGTTTTGATACATAGATTAAAAAAAATCAGTGTATGTCCTATGTGTTCAGTGTTGGACCACATAAGTGTAAATTAGTTGAACAACTCTATATTTTTATTTTAAAATAAAACTTTTTAAATTAAATTATAAGATGTTGTAAGATTAAAATAGTATCAACTGATAGAATAATTTCATTAGTGGTTAATTTATTTTAACTTTAATGAAAACATTAAAGATAATATTTTATTTCTATATATTTTCCTGTAAATAAAATAGAAATAGCATGTTATAAATTTTATTCTACGTATTATAATGTTATCTTTAGCTTTATATTTTCATTTGGTTGTATCTTTATTATTTTATATATAATGTTAAATTTTATATTAATACAATAGTTGTTAAAGAAACAGAAATATCATGTTAGCTTGAAATAATGTTACGATTTAATAAAATAGATATTAATTCTCAATCTGTACAAGCAGAGTCCCTTTTTGTTTTGAACAACGTACAAGCAGAGTCCCATTAAACAAAACTTGGGTTAATAAAATTTGGAATTCACAGTTTCAGCAGCAGTACAGCAAGTAAAAAAGAATTATTTCCAAAATAATCGAAGACAACTAAAACAGAAGATCAATAAGAGGTGGAAGTAGAGTTCTCACTTCTCCTCTTCTAGGTTGTGTGAAGGACGAAATTGAGAAAGGGGGGCGTGAAATGGATCGAACTTGAAGAAACAGGTTTCTTCGTTTTCTTCACTAATCAAAGGTAAACTTGTGATTTCGACATTCTTTTTATCTCGTCTTTGGGTTTCAAGAGAGGTTTGATTCCAAAGGGAACGAAGTAGCATATTTGAATGATTTTAGGTTGAGAAATGAATTTGAAAATATTTAATGTTTTGACCAGTGACCACCGTGGAAGCAAAACAAGATGAGCGACATGAACGATGTGCTGGAAAAATTCAAGGAAGAGAGGAACATCTGATGAAAACATTTACCGAAGGGTACAAGAAACTAATCAAGGACAAGGATGAAGAGCTCGAGAAAATGTTCAAGGATAAGAACGAAGAGCTCGAGAAAGCAGTGAAGGAAGAGCGTCGTGAGCTAGAAGATTTGGAGCATATAAACTTGGCACTCTGCATTAAACTACGCCAAAACAATGACGAGATCCAAGAAGCACACCAAGAATTAATTACTGTAATATATATTTTTCTATCTCTCTGCTTCTAATAATAATAATAATAATAATAATAATAATAATAATAATAATAATAATATGTTTATGTATCTGCAGGGATTGAGAGGCTTATCAGATGAAAGATCGAAGATCAGAGTGAAGAAGATGGGACATGTTGATGAAAAACATTTCCTGAAAGTATGCAAGGAGAGATTCAGTGGCCAAAGCGTTGCGCTGCAAAGCGACAGGCTTTACTCGAAATGGGAGAAAAGGGTCCGGGATCCACTATGGCACCCATTTAAAATTCAGAAATGTGGAGATAAAATTAAGGTCTATTTCGATTTCTTTTCTCAGTACATGCACGTGTCTGTTTTTGCGGTTCTTTGACTTTGTTCTTGTTGTTGTTAGGGTGTTGTGGGATGAGGAAGATGAGAAACTTAAGAATCTGAGTATTAAGTGGGGAGAAGACGTGAAGTGGGGAGAAGACGTGAAGAATGCAGTCAAGACAGCACTCGAGGAAATGAATGAGTTTAACACAAGTGGTCGTTTTGTAGTTCCTGTGTTGTGGAATTTTGAACATGGGAGAAAAGCAACACTCAAGGAAGGGATAGTTGCTCACATGAAGCATCAGATCAATAATCTTAAACGCAAACGAATTTGAAGCAAGCACACCATTGATCCTGTTGATTGGTTGTAAAAGGTCTGTGGGTTCAGTAATCTTAAGTTTAACTCTTGAACTCTTTATGTTAGTCTGTGCTTCTCAGTTTGTATCTCATTAACTAAAACCCATGGACGGTTCTTGTAGAACTTCTGCTTGTGTATTTCCTATGAATATAAACTAAGCTCGTACGTTTTTATGGTAAACTACATGTTATTATGTGTTTCTTGTCCATCCAGTGCTGAAGTATGGGTCTACTAAAAAAAGCTAATTACAATGAATAAAAGGCCACATGTGTTGAAGTCGTAGTTGATAAGCTTCTCGTCTTCTTCTGATGACCAAAACCTTCTCAGCACCAAGGGGTTAATTTAGGTTCTTAGTGATTTTTTCAGTAATTAATAATAGTTAAAGAGATTGTACTTAGTGATTTTTCAGTAATTAATAATAGTTAAAGAGATTGTACTTAAGAAACACTTAAGAAAAAAAATATTAAACTAAAATATTTTTAAACATAAATTTTTTTTTTATTGTTAATGATCAAATAAAATTTATTTATTAAATATAACATATATTAAAATAAAATATTTTAAACATTAGATATAAAAAAGAACATTAAAACAAAGATTAGTAAAATAAACTAGAATAATTTGAAAGAAACATGAGTGCTTAGTTGGTGGCTTGACCACATCCGAATTTACGCCATATATGTTCAACCAAATCAGTTTTGAGTTGTTCATGCATGTGTTTATCATGAATTCTAGTTCAAACGCTCATCATATTGCCGATATTTGTAGGGACATCAGTAGAGAATGTGAGATCGACATGTAGACTTTCGGTGGCTTCTTCTTGTTGGAACTCTGAAACATCATATTGAGTGTATCCATCTCGTTCGTCTTCTACTATCATGTTATGGAGTATGATACATGCTCTAATTATCTTTCCAATTTTTCCTTTATCCCATAAACAAATGCTGGATTTTTAACAATGACAAAGCAAGCTTGCAAGACTCCAAAAGCACGCTCGACATCTTTTCGTACAGCTTCTTGATGATGAGCAAATAAACCGCTTTCGCCCCTTGTGGTACTGAAATTGATTGGATAAAAGTTGCCCAATTCGGATAAATACCGTCAGTGAGATAGTAAGTCATATGATACTCTCTCCCATTGACAGAGAAGGTGGCTTGCGTAGCTTAACCTTTTATTATGTCATTAAAAACAAGTGAGCAATCAAGAACATTGATATCATTTAAAGTACCTGTAGATCCAAAAAATGCATGCCATATCCATAGATCTTACGATGCAACCGCCTCTAAAACGATTGTGGGCTCTCCGGAACCACGTATATTGACCTTTCCAAAAGGTGGGACAATTCTTCTACTCCCAATGCATACAATCGATGCTTCCAATCATCCCGAAGAATCCTTGATGCTCACCAATATCAAGGAGACGATGAAGATCAGCCGGTGTAGGTCTTCTTAGGTACTTGATATACCATGGTTTTGACCCACTTTTGACCATGGTATTTATATGATTTTATGATATATATATATATATATATATATATATATATATGTTTTGGAGTCTATTAGGTATGTTTTCAGGTTCAGGAGCATTTTGGAGTAAAGTGATGATTTAGGTGCCCTTATGGAGCTTAAATGAGAGTTTTCTCGAGATGACTATAAAGATCAGACAGTAAGGTCGATATCCAGAGTTACATATCGATCGATACACATCTTGTGTAATCGATCGACGACGCTTCGTAGAAGATGACTTTGGATACTCCATCGATCGATGTACACCATGTACCATCGATCGATATGAAGCGTGAAGAACAAGTCTGACTTGGCTGACTTGAAGAACAAGTCTGACTTGGCTGACTTGAAGCCCAAGTTCTCTCAATATTACAAGATTGCCCCTGACGAGTTTTTAACCTAATGGAACTCATATTTATAGTCTTGCCTATGTGTTTTGGCTAGACATGCTTTTTATGCTTTTACATGCTTTTGTGCTTTTCATACCTTTTATGTTCTTTAATTTTCATACCTCTTCATCTTATTCTTATTTTCATAAAGGTTATAGAATTCTAGATTTAGAAGAAACACACAAAGAGACTTGTTGTTCCAAGAACCAAGAGTTCAATCTTCTAATCTAATGAATTTCTATAATTACCTTGTTGCTATGGATCACTTAGCCATGTCTAAGTAGATTCACTTGTTAGATTTAGGGTTCAAATAGTTATGAGGGATTATCCCCAACTATGGATTGTCGAGTTGTGATATTCATTATCCTGATGAATCCTAATGCTTATTCTAGAGTAGCTAACTAGAGTATGATCATGGAATGATTTAACTTGTTAATCATCATCCTGAAATCATCTTGTATAAGCTGAGATTCTAGGCACGATGCGAGAGCCGGTCTATGATCTTGGTGAACACTTTCGATTCGATCTGAAGCTATATCGATCGTTACTCCTATAGAGTAATCGATCGACGGCTACATATATCGGTTGATGTTGCGATAGCAATATCGATCGATATTGTCGGCAGTCAGATCAATAGACGAGTCTAATAGCGATAGCTATAGATTTATCTAAGAATTGAAGTTCTTTAATATCTTGTAAGCAACTTATAAAGACATCTATAGCATTATAATCCTGATTTTCTGAATAATAACCTTGAATCTAACTACTTTCTTTTATTGTTTCAAACCTAAACCAAACTCTCTTGAGCAACTTACCATTGCTCACAACTGCAATTTACTTTTAAACAATAATCAACTTAGCATAATCACTTAGGATTTTATCTTTTGTGTTCCTTAGTTCCTCGTGGATTCGATCCCTAAGTACTACAATTGAACCTCTTATTTGAGAGAGTAATTCACTCCTTAGGGAAATTTGAGTGATATCAAATTAGGCTCCGTTGCCGGGGAACTAAGATCGCCATTAGATTTAATCTGATTTAGTCTAGGTTATTTTTCTTTTTATTGCTTAATTATCTTCTGACACAAAATTTTTTTCTTGTCTCTTTCAGGTACATGCCCAGCAATACTAGAAGCAACAAGAACAACCAGCTTGTGTATTCAGAAGGCCCTCACAGTTTGGAACGTAGCATCCGCAAAGACTTACGTTCCACATCGATCGATATCAACAACCGTACATCGATCGATACTCGCTAACCACAGTCGACCGAGACACCTTCAACGTTGACCGATACTCGCACCCTTCCATCAATCGACATCAAAAACCGTTCGTCGACCGATATCTTTCACCCGACATCGATCGATATCCTTCATCTTACATCGATCGATACTAACCGGCGAGACATGGTAGCGACTATTATTCTCACTACTGATGAGAATGGAGACCTGCGTGATCAAGATGGTCACCTGCGTAATGCAGCAGGTCAGAAGCTGAATGCTCAGAAGGAAATCATTCCTGAGCAAAAGACTGCACCTAAAGATTTTATTCAACCTGTAGAAGAGGCTAATAAAGCTAGAACTTTGGCTGACTACAACCGTCCGGATCAGTTCTACACCAACCGATCAGCCATACGCCCCACTGCTATTCAGAGAAGAGATTTCGAGCTCAAGCCGCAGTACTACACACTTGTAGGACAAATACCCTTATGTGGGTTGTCCCATGAGCATCCTATGGACCATCTGGAGAGGTTCGAGGATCTCATAACTGTCATTAAAGCCAATGGAGTCCCTCAAGACTATATTCTCTGAAAGCTTTTCAAATACTCTCTATCTGGAGAAGCTTTGTAGTGGCTGAGACAACTATCACCAGGTTCTCTCACAACTTGGAGTGACATCAAAAACGCATTCCTGTGTAATTTATTTGATGACTCACGCGCTGAAGAATGGAGGAGGAAGATTGCTACATTCACTCAAGATCCTGGAGAATCGTTTAAGGACACATGGAGCAGATTCAAATCCTACCAGCGAGATTGTCCACACAACGGTTTCAACAACGTGCAACTGCTCTGCAGTTTCTACAGAGGCATCAATTTGAAGTACCAGATGGCTCTTGACACAGCAAATGAAGGCAATTTTACCACCAGGAATCCTCAAGAAGTTGTGAAATTGATTGATAACTTAGCTTCAAGCAACAACACAAAGAATATTATGAAGACAAAGCTACATCATTCGTTGGGAAGGAACATATTAATGAAGTGCAAGCACAGCTGGATCATGTTCAGAAGCTACTAAACAAGCAGATTTGCTCAGTGGAGGATGCATAAACTGCAGCTGAAGAAGAATACACAAAAGAAGATGTGAACTGGATCAGTGGAGCTGGTTTTCAGAGGCCTAGAAACCAAGGAAGATACAGAAAATTCACAGGACAGAAGAGCAACTTCAACCAGAGTTCACAGAGGCCTACCAACTACAGCAGCAGCAACCCCAACAACAACAGAAGTTATGGTAACTCATTCTACACAAATCCACCCCCACCCACCCAAGACAGCAAGCTAGAAGAGATGCTAGACAAAGTTCTGGAGAGTCAGCAGAAACTTCAGATGGACTTCAATGGAAAGATCGATTCTATTTACACCAACCTCAACACCAAGCTTGATGGTTTGAGCACCCATGTGAGAAGATAGAAACTCAAGTGGTTCAGACAGGAGAAGCATTAAAAAAAACAAGAAACTTTAGCGAAGGGAATGGGAGAGTTTGCTACTCTCCATGATGTGCATGCCCTCCTGGATGATGATTTTTGGCAGAAGCTGATAGATTCTGAAGATGACGATGATACAGACTACGAACTCGAACTCGAATACTATCGATCGATAGGGCATCCTGAGTATCGACCGATGCCTTCCAAAGCACAGCGATCGATAGACTTTGCCGAGTGTCGATCGATGGACTTAGCCGAGGCCTCTTACGAGTGCAATGCCGTCAAGATTCTGTCACACGAAGCTTTCGCCGCACGACACCCACATCCACCCGTCGCTATCCGCATTGATTCTCATGACATCGATCGACATGATTCCTTTCCCATCGATCGACATGAAGACCAAGATATCGACCGATCCACTCCAGTGATTGTCGATCGATACACAACACCCCAACGTCGACTTCAACTTCCAAAGATCGACGTTGCACGACTTGATGCACTCCGGGAGCACTCTAA